GTGTGCGGTAACAGTGATTATTGAAACTAGTGAAATTAAGTAAGCGAGTCGTCCTCTTGGAGGAACCCTGTAATTGTGGCTTGATATGTAGTGCCTAAGTTAGGTTAGAATTAGGCATTACAGTCTAGCTTCTCTGAGCGAGTTTAATGAAGCACTCCCTGGTTTCAAGCTGGTAGGGACCAACAAATAAGAGGGTAAAACTCACCACTGTAAAATGATGACTGTACTGCACATCATTATAATTCCTACGATCTTCACTGTTGTGTAGACACTGATTCCTTAAATTTGACAAAAACAAATGTTTTTAATGACAAAGTGACATATGAGAATAAAAAAAGACCGTATATAAAATGCACTTTACATCAAACAGATCTAGTGACGTGTTTTTAAAGAAACTTTACATGACATAAAAAGCAACAACACATTAACTTTAGATCCTAGACAAAATTTTTACCTGTGCTGTACTGCTGTGCAGATCTTTGGGTAATGGTTCACCAGCTGGCATGTTTTTATTCATTTTAATTTTTAGAATAATAATGGTATCCCCTGAGACATTTGCTTGGCTACCTGAAGGACTATAGGGTATTAGGGTGCTTCAATGGATATCCAGTTCTTGCTCTACTAGAAGCATGGGCATTGCACAGAGTCATCAAATTGGGCAAGCTTCTTTCCATATGCCAGTTTGTGGGTCTCTAAAACGTAACAAGTAGAGCCTCTATTTTACAGACTGAGTCAGGGTTCTGTTGTTAATGTGGAAAGACCAGCAACAGAGACACTCACAGTTCAGCAAGTAGCACTACCTGTTCTAGGGAATATGGCCTGCTGTCTGTGGTACTTCTGTATGTCCTGAACCCAGTATCGAAACCTGCTTTCCTGCATCAGGGGAAGGATGCCTCTCCAGGACATCAACAGGGGGCTCTCTTTCCATTGCAGAGCCTTATTTTTCTGTCTTCATTCAGGAAATCCATTAACACCCAATAAAAATAAAGCCTAATTGTGCTGTCTAAATCATTTAGAAAAAACCCTACTTCCACTTTTCTGCTTCCCTCTACATCACATCCAGTCCAGCCGCAAATTGCTTAACGCTATCCAGATTGACAGAAGTTCATATATTTGATTTCAAGTTAAATTCCAATTTACTCTATTGGGGTATTTACCGCAGAGTTTCAATCTCTTAATTTGCACTATTTGCATTGCTAAAAAAAAGCATCACTTGTAGCAATAACCACAAATTTTCTTCTGAACATGTCTTTACCCAGAGATAACATCACTTTTTTTTCCAGCTTCTGTATTGTCATTACATTGTCACAAGTACAGAGCATCTAAATTAACTCTCTGCAATAAACCCATCCCCTTGTGGAGCAGTGGAGCCCGGGGAGCAGTGTGTGGTTAAGGGTCATTGCTCAGGGACCCTGAGTGGCAGTCTGTGAGAGTAGGTGTCACGGTCTTGGTTCTGTTTAAGTTTCCTTTTGAGTTTTCAATTTAACTTTGATCCCTCTTTTTCTTCGTTTTCTAGTTTTATTGGCTTTAATTCCTATTTTGTGGTGTTTTCTGGATGTATTTGAGTTCTTGGGTATTTCTTGATTGCCCTCTATTGTCCTCTACTGTTGGTCTCCTTTTCCCTAGCTCCTTTCTAGAAGCCTCTGTTCCCACCTGCTCCCAATCAGCTCATTAGTCCTGTCTTTGTTTGTTCTCCTGCTTCCTCATGTTTGTTTTCCCTGATGTCTCCAAGGTCCTGTTTTTCTTCTGTATTTTTACGTTGGATTTTAGAATTCTTGCCTAGGTTGCCTGTGAGTACTTAATTAAATCTGCAAAACTAATTTCTGCCATTTCACCTCTGCATTTAGGTCCTAAAAACCTCAACCCAACCCTGACAGTGGGGCTCAAGCTCAGAACCTCAGGATTCCGAGCTAGCTATATGCCCTAATCACTCCTCTTGTTTGTTTCACATCATTTTTGTTTGTTACAAACGTAGCACAAGGGCTATTTCTTTGATTTTTGAAGATGTGTGTGTCACTTAAGGTTCTGTAAATCTGAGGTTATGGTTCTTTACAGCAAAAATTAGCTGAGGAAACTTGGTATACCTTTCAGGTAGGACTAACAAAGCCAAAAAGTAAAGCTTGTGAATTATTGGTCTATCTGCATCTCAGTCCTCACCCAAAGTTATGAGAGTTGATTTGTGACCAAAAGCAAAAGATGCAACCCATCAAAGAATTTTCCTTTGAAGCTAGGGTGGAATCAGATTCAGAGAATGCATAAGGAGGTCCATCATCTGAAGGGAGCTGAACAATAGCATCTGATCAGCACGGTCATTTAGAGAGGTCTTTTTTAGGCATCTTCTGCCAGGAGATCTTGGAATCAAGACCCATAATGCCTTGGATTGATTATAAAAAATAAGCTAGATAGGGATGCTAGGCAAAGCCCATTATAAATTGTGCTAGTGGATATAATTTCCTCCTAAACCCAGTTTTAGATTAGCAGAAAATAAAAGACGAACAGATGGAAGAAGGAAATCTTTTGTAAGTTTATATATATATATATTGAATTGTTATCTCTAATGCAGTCTAGTTTGGCTTTAGATGCTGTATTTGAAGTGGAGTACTTGTGTTGCATGTGATGAAACCAAAACAGCAGAAGATTGCCCTAAGAAATCAGGGCGACATGTTGCTCACCACTGTCTCTTTAATGCACCATGTTTAGTCTCCATGAAACCAATCTGATGCTTGATGGAGATTTTCTTTACTTCTCTGAATTCTACTGAAGGGACAAACTTAGAAATGTAAATCAACCACAGGATATATGTTTCATAGAAGACACAAGGCTTTGTTACTTGGTTAGCTATGGCTGTTGATACATACTTCCTACTCACTTAATACTCGTCTTTTTTATTTCTTTATATTTTGATAAAACACTTAACAACAAACACAAAGAGACATACAAAAAAACTGATTCAGAAAATCAGATAAAGAGTTTTTTATTACCTTGCTTGTTCAAATGACTCCACGATGACATCTGATTACCAAATATATTCACAGCCACACAGTAATAGCTTTCGATATCTGTCATGTTGGTCATCCGGAGTCTGTAAACCTGCCCCACAGATACATTAATGGGTCCATTTTTGCCATTTCTTAACCAAGTGAAGCTGGCAGGAGGCTTGGCTCTGCTGGAGCAGCTCAGCTCCACCCAGCTACCTGCTGACACCAAACCTGATGGACTGATGGATGCTGAGGTGT